CGAAAAGAAGAAACGACTGGCGCGCTGTTGTTAACTCGGCTATAATCGCGTAAGCGGTGTCTACGCCAATCAAGAAGAAGAAGACCGGAAGTTGTGAACTGCTTGAGCCATATATAAAAGAATCGTTTCTGGCCACTCCCAAGCTCCAGACTTTCTTCACTTGCATGAGCTTTTACACATTGTTCTATTCTGTATCCTGGCCTTACAGTTAAGAGTATAATGATCACACAGCAAGAATTAACGTTAACTCTTACTTAACTTAGTGGCCATTGCTATTCGATTCCTTGAATCGCTTTGACTTTCTACAGGATCTTTTGATTCATGGAGTCGCCAAATCAAACTCTGACTGTTTTTTCTGTCTGTGGAAGTTGTGGATTGGTAGAAGTTCTTGGAGGAGATGCACAGTCAACTTCTCAATGGATGGGTCGAAGGTTGAGGGAAAGTTTGGTGGAGCAGGAACTTTTCATCAACTTCGGTTTCAGATTTTTTGATTACTGTAGAGATTTTAGATCGAAATTGATGTCATTAAGATAACAGTAGATCTAATGCTCTAGAGTAGAGCTCTCTTCAGAGAAGTGACTATCCACTTTGATAGCCGAGAGACGATGCTACTCTTGCCGTAGCACCGTAAAGCTGATGAGTTGATAATGAAGGGTACAATAAATCCGCTATCAGCCGAGTTGGAATGGATTGTTGCTCCCCTCTCCTCGTGTGTTCTACTACTGGATGGCTGCACTTCGCGAGAACTTTTCCAGAAATCCTTAATCCTTTGAGCCTAAGATTGAACGTAAGGGATCGAGTGAGCTCTTTGCCTTTAGTTATTCTGGTATCTCCATAGTTGTTCTAACCTTATCGTCGTCTATGCCGTAAGGTTGACTTGTCCCATCGGTCGCCAGGGCCAGAAGCTGGTTGGAAGAAGTCGAGGAGGAAACAACTCAACACTTCCTTCTTCATTGTTTCTCTATTCTATTAAATTTTTATGGCTGCACAAAGTCTAAGTGCGATTTCTAGATACTGGAGCTTCGTCTAAGCTAAGTTACACTTTAATTCACGAATTCCAAATTTTAATTTTTTTTTGTAGTATTGAAAAGGTATACGAGAGGTGTTCAGCAAACGTTCTAGTAAATCCTAACCTTAAACTCGTCTGTTGCTTACATCGAACAGCGCATTTTCCTGTCGGGTACTTCTGGGAATATTTTTTTATATTATATTATATATTTACTTATGCAGATACTCAGTTATACATATGTACTTGTATAAGAACAGCAGCTGTTGGTTAAAGAGGCTGATGAAACAAAAAAAAAAGCAACTAACAATGTCAGCATCAGTGTTGCAGCGCGCCAGTAACAGTCGCCGTTTCCGCATCCTTTCGCTTCCGCTTAACACCATGTTGATGATTGTTGCCCTGACAGCATCATTTATTTAAAACACTTTTCAAGTAAAAATGCTACAATTGACAGCTCTGATGTTGAAGGCGGCAAATATTGGCAGAGGGAGGAGAAAATACAATAAAAAGTAAATAAAACAGCTGGCGAGAGCAGAAAAAAAACATGAACGAATAAATACAAATATTACTGGACTGGGAAGTGAGAAAAACAAATGTAAATACATATGTATGATGGCACCTATGTAATATCTATAAATGTATATATGTATATTATATGTATATATGTGTAAGTAGTCTATGGGGCAGGGGAAGTCCAAATTCTCATGGTCATTTGATTTGACAGATAACAGGAATAAAAGAAAAGTGCCACGCTGAGACAATGAGAAAAGCAAAAAGCTTGTAACAATAATTTGTGTTCATCATCATTAACTAAAATGGCAACAACGATAACAAGAGGTGGCAAGATAGTAATGTAGGATGCTTGAATGGAGGAGAGCAGAAAGTAAGAATGTGCACATCAAATAAACGAGCAACTATAAGATTTTTAGTCTTGGTAATGACGGCAAGGTGACTAAACTGGTACGAGGAAGGTGCTTAAGATAAGTTGCCAATAATAAAATCATATTAGATAGGATGAATTTTGATATTATATGCTAACTGAAATCAACAAATTTTCCTCGGCTTGAAATCATAAACGTTGTTTTTTGGGAGAGAATGAGGAAATAAAAGAAAATGTATGAAATTGAGACATAAGAGACGATGACTACTATAATCATCGTAAAAGAGATGATCCATAGATGATCGTGAGAATATCTGAAAAAACCATGTGAATATTGAAAATTTTGGAAAAAAAACCAAAAAATTTCTCTTAAATTTATAAAGTTTTCATGCTCATATGATTTTCTTTCAGATGTTCTCACTAAATTTATTTTTATTCATGGAATGCCAGTTTAAAATTAGCCCACTGTAAGCTTACCATCTTACTTTGTCAGAAAATTGTGTAGGTGTCCAATTAAATGGTATGAAAAGAAAGCAAGCCTCTGAGACGGTAGTTTTATGGCAATAGCTGTAGCGTAGTCATTAATTTTGCAAATTGGTTGATGGTGCAGCTATAAAACATGCCGGTCAATATGGCTTCCCCGCGGAAGGAATAAAAACAAGTTCTCTTAAAACCCTTTTGGGTAGGAAAATAAAACCGATTATGAAATGGTTGAAGAGATATATTAAGTAACAAATAATTTTATCATTATTTTAAAAAATAATTTCGTTGAAGTCAGATTTTTTAATAAGCCGCAACCCTTAAAAATAATTTTAATCAATTATAAGCTTTCGTTCATTTATTTTTAAGCTTTGAAACTAAATATTTCCTTTTTATTTACTGGAATATTCGAAAAGGTGGCAACCCTTTACAAAAAAATTTAAATTTTTGATCTGCAGCTTTTTAACTCGTATTCAAAAGGTAATTTTTTAAAACTTAACTGTTTCAAATAGGTGGCGTATTACGATATTTATCTTAATATTTCCGGTTGCTCAGCATTTTCAAATTGAAGGCTACATTGACACTATTTACCTATAAATTATACAGACAATACAACGAAAATTCCTAAAAATATAATAAAACCATTTCAGTCTTTCTTTTTGACGTTTGGATTATGCCAATTTGAACTTTGATATAAATTTTTAAAAATATTGGTAACCCTTCATACAAATATTTTCAGCTTTAATACCACTGAAAGCTCTGTAGTTTGATACCCACGTCGCAATAATGTGTTTATGACATCAATTTAACGAATTCAAATTTTTGTTTGTGTGGCAACCCTTAAAACTATTTTGAATCAGTTATAAGCCTTAATTCGATATTTATAAGCTTTAAACCTTTTTACTATTTTGGTTTTTTGTTATTCAAGTATACGAAAAGGTGGCAACCCTTTACAAAAATTTAAGTTTTTGATCTGAAGCCTTCTTAGTTATTTTCACTTTGTAACATTTTTCATCCCACCAGTATTTAAAACTCAACAGGTGGTAAATTCAGATTTTTTAAAAAGTGGCAACAATTAAAAATATTTTTAAACAATTATAAGCTTTAATTCATTTATTTATAAACTTTAAACTTAATTATTTTTTTTGGTTTTTTGTTACTCAAATATTCGCAAAGGTGGCAACCCCTTATAAAAAAATTGAATTTTTAAGCTGAAGCTTACTTCGATATTTTCACATAGTTATTTCTTCTCTGCAGCAGCATTTAAAATTCGATAATTTCAAACACGTGGCAAACTTGATACTATTTTACTATTCTTTATTGGGATATTACGACTTACATTTCGAAAAATATATGAAAATTATTTCAGCCTTACATTTTGACGTTTTGGCTCCTGCCAACGTGACGGAATTTCGTTTCGTAACACGATAACGTTGCAGTTTAAAGAAATTTCGCTTCAAAAATACATCATAATTTAAGAATTTAATATTCGGTTCTGAAAGTCTTAGTTTCCAATTTGTCATAAAAAGTTCTTCTTAGAAGTTAGAACTGTTAATCTGTTCCTTTTCAAAGTGAATATTTT